ACCATTTGTGAATATTTTTTCCCACTCTGTAGTTTATCTCTTTACTCTGTTACTTCCTTGGCTGAAGCCTTTTAATTTAATCAAGCCTTATCTATCTATCTATCTTTTATTTATCAGTGCTATTACTGCCTCTGGGATCTTAGTCATAAATTCTTTGCCTAGGCCAGTATCTAGAAGAGTTTTTCAAACATTTTCTTAGAGAATTTTTACGGTTTCATGTCTTACATTTAGGTCTTCTATCCACCCTGAATTAATTTTTGTATATGATAAGAGATAGTGGTCCTGTTTCATTCTTCTACAAGTGCCTGTCCCATGTTCCCAGTACCATTTATTGAATAGGGCTTCCTATCTCCAGTGTTTGTTGCTGTCTTATTTGTCAATGATCAGTTTGTTATAGGTAGATAGTTTTCTATCTGGGTTCTCTATTCTGTTCCATTGGTCTATGTCTATATTTTTATACCAATATTATGCTATTTGCATTACTATATCCTCATAGTATAATTTGAAATCTGATTATGTGAAGCTTCCATATTTCTTCCTTTTACTTAAGATTGCTTTGGCTATTCAGGCTGTTTTTTGGTTCAAAATGAAGCATAGATATTTTTACCAGATTTGTGAAATATGATGTTGGTATTTTGATGGGGATTGCACTGAATCTGTAACTGACTTTGGGCAGTGTGGATATTTTAACAACATTGATTCTACCAATCCATGAGTATGGTATGTTTTTCCATTACTTTGTGCCATCTGTGATTTCTTTCATCAGTGTTTCATAGTTCTCCTTATAGAGATTATTCACTCTCTTGGCCAAATATGTTTCTAAGTATTTAATTTTATTTGTAGCTATTCTGAATGGTATTGAGTCCTTGATTTGCTTCTCTGCTTCACTGTTATTAGTATATAGAAATGCTACTGATTTGTGTACATTGATTTTGTAACCTGAGACTTTCCTGTAGAAAGTCATTTCTAGGATACTTTTGTTGGAGTCTTTAGGATTCTCTAGATATAAGATCATATCATTAGTGAAAAGTGATAGTTTGACCAGCTCTTTCCTGATTTGGATATCCTTTATTTCTTTCTCTTGCCTCATTGCTCTGGCTAGAACCTTCAGTTCTATGTTGAATAGACTTGGTGACAGCATATATGATTTTTTTCTTCCAGTTCTTAGCATGAATTCTTTCAACTTTTCCCCATTCAGTAGGATGTTGGCTGCAAGTTTGTCACAGATGGCTTTTATAATTTTGTGTTCGTTTTGACTTCTGTTTATGTCGTGATTCATATTTATTGATTACATATGTTGAACCATCCTTATATCCCTGGGATGAAGCCCACTTGGTCTTGCTAAAGTATGTTTTTGATGTGCTGGTTTGCTAGTATTTTGTTAAGAAGTTTTGCATCTATGTTCTTAAGAGTTATTGGTCTGTAGTTTTCTTTTTTTGTTGTGTCATTTCCTGCTTTTGGTGTCAAGGTGATACTGGCTTCATAGAATGATTTAGGAAAGATTATCTCCTTCTTGATATTATGGAAAAATTTCTGTAGGATGGGTACAAGTTCTTCTTTACAGATTTAGTAGAATTTGGCTGTGAATCCATCTAGTCTGGGGCCTTTTGTTGGTTGAGAGATTTTTTATTACTGCTTCAATCTCATTTCTCATTGTTCATCTGCTCAGGGGTTCTCTTTCTTCCTGATTAAGTTTTGGGAGATTGTGTGCTTCTAGGAATTTGTCCATTTCTTCTACATTTTCTAGTTTATGTGGGTAGAGATTTTCATAGTATTCATGGATGATGTTCTGTGTTTGGTATAATATCAGTTGTTATGTCTCCTTTTTCATTTTGATTGAGCCTATTTGAGTCCTTTGTTTTCCTAGCTAATCTATCAAGAGGTCTAATGATTTTGTTTATGTGTTCAAAGAACCAAGTTTTTGTTTCATTGATGCTTTATGTTTTTTGTTTGTTTGCTTTTTATTTAATTTCTTTCTTCTCTGAGCTTTATTATTTGTTCTCATCTACTGGCTTTGGGTTAGGTTTGCTTTTCCTTCCCTAGGTCTTTGAGATGTGACATTAGGTTGTTATTTTGTGAGCTTTATGTCTTTTTGATGTAAGCATTTAAGGCTATGAATTTTCCTGTTAGGAATGGTATTGCTATATCCCATAGACTTTGATAGCTTGTGTCCCCTTTGTCTCACTAACTCTCCTACTTAATGAGAAGAAGGGGAGGTTTCTTATAGCACTTTGTGTCTTACTCTTGAATATTGACTTTGCAGGGGAGAGGCGGTTCCCTGAAAGCCTGTGGTGCTGCCCTTCGGTTTTGACTGATTCCCCTGTGATTGTCACAGTTCAAGCAGGTGCTAAATGATACTGGTGCAATGTGGTGGGTTGTTACCCAGGTTACTGTTGGAAGCTAGAGTTGGGGGTTGGGTTGCCTTTCTCGAGAGTCTACCTGTTGGGGCATTCGCTCGTACCCCCAGCTTTTTCTGCAGAGGTCACACTGGCAGCCTGAATGAGGCTAACTAGGTAGTGGTTGTGGGTATCTGCCTTGTGTGTATTTGCTTGAGCCAGGTCCAGGTGTAATAGTGGCTCCAGTCATCGGGCGGTCTCTTCGCACCAGATCTTGGGGGCTTCAGTTGGTTTCACTGGACCAGTAGCAGTGGTGGAGACTCAGGGTGGGGTCCCATCCAGGCACAATGCTGGAATCTCGGGGCTGGAATCCTGGGCCCAGATGGTGCTCAGCAGACACCAGGGCCGAGCCATGGTCCTGTGTTTTATGCTGGAGCTCTCAAGGTGGGGATTAGAAGTTTCCGTGCAGGCAGGAAGCCTATGTGGGCTGCGGGTCGCCCAGGCGTCAGACCACAGAGAGGGAACCACAGGGGTTGGGACCCACAGCAAGGACATGGATCCTGGGCATGGGGACTCGAGAGCGGGAGCCGTCATGTTGGGGCGTGCAGTTTTAGCATCCGGGAACCACAGAGGTGAGGCCTCACTGGCATGAGGCTGTTCTCAAGCGTGGACACCGAGGATGCTGAGCTGCGCATGTGGGTAGCAGCATCAGCAACATGAGAATGGTGGAATTGGATCTGCATGGGCTGGGCAGCAGCGTCCAGGTTGCAGGGAGTGGCGGGCTGTGGTCTGGTGCCAACAGGTTGGCCCTTGGCTTCACTCAACTCGTTCCGCGAGGCTGCTGTCCCAGGCTTCCCAGGTGGTGTCTGTGGTGCTTGAGGTGCCTCCTCTGCTCAGATCCCGCACTGGCCGGGCAGAGTGCTCACTCCCAGTCACAAGGCTCTGGCCAGCAGCCCTCTGCCCACTCGCTCTGCATCCCAGTGGGGATGATGCCAAGGCTGTTGCAGCAAAGCAAGCCCCATGCAGACCTGGCACCCTGCACCTGACAGCTCAGAGTGGCATCAGCTGCAGAAACCTGGATTGGACAGGGCAAGTGGATCCGCGTTCTGCGATCACTGACCAGTACAATGTCTGCGCTGACTCCGTGCAGCTCCTCGTCGGTCCAGAGGGCCGCGGGGGCCTAGAGGGTCCACCCCTCCCAACTCCGGTCGCGATGCCTGTGCGATGGACGTGGAGCCCCAGAGTTCTCTTCTGTCCTTCTTCAGGTATAGATGCCACCCCAAATTCCCTTTGATCTCGCCCAGTGAATTGCCCCTTCACCTTCTTCTGCACTCTGAATATTACCCCGGAGTTTTACAACGTTCTTTCCAAGAAGAACCTGCCTTTAACTTTCAATCCTCTCCTTGAGAGCAGGTGCCACTGTTTCTAGGCCTTCATCTTGCCCCGCTCCCTCTTAAAGGTTTTTTTTTTTTTTGAGACAGAATCTCGCTTGTTGCCAGAGGCTACGATGCTGGGGTCAGTCTGCTCACCAGCAACCTCAAACCCTGGGCTTAACGATCCTCCTCTCAGCTTCCCAAGTAGCTTGGACTACACCACACGCATGCGTCACCCCATGCCCCAGGCAATTTTTTCTATATACTTCTTAGTTGCAATTAATTCTTCTATTTATAGTAGACGACGAGTCTCTTGCTCAGGCTGGTTCCAACTCCTGACCTTGCAGCCAATCGCCCGCTCGGCCTCCGAGATGCTAGGATTTGCAGCGTGAGCCACCGGGCTGCCTAGAAGTCTTCTTTGATGTTCATGTGTCCTGTAACTTTTGTGTTAAATGTCTACTTACTTTGTCCTCACTATTTTTTAGTTAGGGGAATTTATTATTTTTTTTATATTATTTCCCTTCCCCTATTTTGTTTGACTAAGACTTTAAATCCCTTTACACAAAAGCTATTTTTATTACGAATAACAGTTCAGTCATGGTGGGGAATGAATCAATGAGCACTCTAATAATAGTGATTATATTTCAATCTCTGGAATGCCGATATATTTAAAATTGATTAATATTTTCAGAGACATTTATTTTTATTAAGGGAAATTCAAAGATTAAATAATTTGTTTAAAAAATAAAATGAAATACAAGAATTAAGGCAGAGCAATTGAGAAGGTAAGTTTGGCATGATGCATTATGTGCCAGGCCTACAACTAAAGTGACCACGTGTTCATGTGTCTCAGAATAATTAATGACAAATATCAGTAAATATCTCTTGATAATGTTGCTATGAGTTTTATAATTATTTCCATCATAAACAAGTTACATGATATGAATTTGAAAAAAAGAAGTATGTAATGCTAAGATTTATCAACCTAGTCTAAAAGTGGGCCTTAAACATCCAAGACACACTTAAGACTTAAGCTGGCATATTTGTGATTGAGATAAAGAAAAGTTAATTGCACGGGTGACCAAGTATCTATCCCACTATATCTCGTAGAATATGAAAGCAGCTTCTCAGAGACACTTAAAATGCACAGTCTTAAGGACACACTTTAGAATTCTACTTTGTCCTTGCAATAGGAGCCCAAAGTCTCCTGTATTTTGGAGGTGTGTGATGAGATAAACTGATTTCAAAGTAGCCCATGTGTGAGAATTTCCTGTTCAGACCTTCAGTGACACAGTGATGAGAAATTTACATTTTCCACTCTTGCCTCACTCTGAGCCTTCACAGGGCACTCTTGAAGGTCACAGACATTGTTTGTTCTTGTCTTGGATTTATGCCTTGAAATTTTACATTTTGTTTCCCAGCTACCACAGGCCTTTTTAGGAGAGTAACCTGGCCGCTGCACTAAAGGATGCATGACTTCAGGGGATAGAAGGTATGTCTGGATACTGTCCACTTCTCTATTAGCCTACCTCAGTTACTGGAAGATACCAAGTACTAAGTGCAATGCAACTGAGGTACAATTAATCTGCAAGAAAATCAATGTGGAAATTAATTTCTTAATTTGTATAAATCAGAGCAAAAACCTAAAATATGAAATATGATGGAGGATTTCCTAAGTTTGTAAATTTTTGCCTCTGGAGACCTATTTAAGGACATATACATATATCTGCATAGTTAGCAAACATAATTTAACTGACACAAATAAACATCATAAAAATGAACAGTTAATTTTGGATTAGTAATCATTATATTCTGTACTGTTGAATAATGACATAATAATTTATATGTAGTTCAGCAATTATAAAAGATTATTAAAAGGAATTACTTTATAGATGAAAGCCAAACATAATTCCTCAGGCTTATTAAAAGAAAGCATTTTTAATTTTTAATTAAAATCAGGGTAAGGTAAATTTTATAGAATGCTGAACTTGCTTATAATCAAAAGACTTTTAAAAATTTATCAAATATTGCAAGAAAAATGTACCACACTGACATACAGACTTGTCTAATGATTTATTTTTCATGGTTTAACTGACATGAATCAGATACAATAACATAGCAATTGTGAATAAAATTAAAATTAAAATAGTTAATATTTGTAGAGAACTTTAGGTGTCAGTTTGAGTTGTAGAAGTTTTACATACATTGTATTTTGTATTTTCTTATTCCCACTTTAGGTTAGCAGCCTAGGTTATTAGATACTAAGTAACTTCTTAAAGGTCACAAATTATGAATTGCAAAGCCAAAATTAATTCTAGATATCACTTACTCCAGAGCCCATTGACTAAAACATTACATTAAATTATATAAATTATTACAAATGCTCACACAACTGAAGTGACCTCCATTGATGTTAACAAACATAATATCTTTCTGGAAGTATGAAACGAAAGTGTTCTTCCATAAACATTTTGCATTTTTGTTTGTAATTTTATGGTTTTATATTTTAGCATTAGAATAAATTGCCCTTGCTTCTGTAATAAGATTAAAAAATTTTGTAGTGTTTCTAATACTGTTTAGGTTATGAATAAGTTTGTGTCACGTACATTTTCCAACATATAAAATATTCTAAATAGTTTAATGATTTCTCAGAACCTTAAGCCATTTAAACAAAAGAACATTTAATAACCCTGAATCCATTTTAATAAATAAGTGTAAACTACAAAATAAAAATAATTTAGGGCAAGACAATAAGATAAATGCCAACTTTCCTATTCTCCATTTTAAGATCACTCAGTCTTTAACCATTGTTGGCCTTCAAAATTATCATAAATCAGTGTATACGTTTAATACAACATTTTTATTTTTGATACAGCAATTGTATTGGTTTTAAAATATATCTTTTGAATCAGACTTTAATAAATATTTTTTTATCCATGGACTTCTTTATTCCTTGCTAATGTATTTGTTTTCATTGTTCCAGCAATAGTATTTTCAAAACTGTAGAAAATCTTTTTTTTTTTTTTTTGTCAACACAGGAAAATCTTTCAAAAAAACATTTTAGTCTAAGACACTTGTTTATGCTCTAAGGAAATTAGAATGAGAACTTCAGACTCTTTAATGCAAAATGAGAACCAATATGCACACTACCCCTCATCCATTTTGACTGCACTCAGGATCTTGACATTATACAAACCATTTATTAATTTCTTAAGTTCAGGTATCACAGATCACAGTCTGACATTACACAGCAGCTGAGATGGATAACCAAAGAGTAATCTACTCTGAAATGAATCTGGCCCAAAACTCAAAGAGGCAGCAAAGGAAATCTAAGGACACTAAGAGCTCCATTTCAGAAACCAAACAGGAAATAACCTATGCGGAATTAAACCTTCAAAATGCTGCTCAGGATCTTCAAGGAGATGACAGATCTTATCACTGCAAAGGTAAAGCACTTAATACCTCTTCAATACAAATGTTCTAGGATGTGCAGTTGGGGACAGGGGTGTGGGGAAAGAGTAGGGTATGCTCACATATTTTTATTCATGAAGATTAGAGTTCTAAGTTGAGACATGTTATTTTAATGTGAAATATGCAGACTAATTTTACTCACGTTGAAATTTGTAGTTTTTTCCATAAGCTCATGGAATACTACGTTTACTGAAAATGCAGTAATATATCCTGAGAGAAATATTACTATGGTAGATGCAGGTTTGGGGTCCAAGTTTATGAGTCTCTGTTTATGTGGGGTGTCTTATATGTAAATATTCCAACCAACCTTCTCTGTCTCTCCTTTCTCAGTGTTTCTGTTTCTCTCCCTGCAGATTTGCTGTTACCTCCAGAGAAGCTCATTGCTGGGATCCTGGGAATCATCTGTCTTGTCTTAATAATGTCCACTGTGGTAACAAGTCTGGTCTATCCCTGTAAGTAGGTTTTGGAAGAATAAAAGGAAACTTTTACACTTAATGATTGGAAGTACCTTCAAACATTGCATAATATCAAGAAATAGAATATGCATTATAATGTATGTTTTGGACTTAATGAGGAATGGTTAATCTGAATTTTTCAAAAGTATAAATGAAAGAATAATTGTACAGAACCCTTGCTTTTAATTATATATGTGTTTTCAAATTTTGTAACTCAAATACATGTTGTATGAGACTGAAAAAGCTTACCAAAAAATAGAAATTAATTTTTGAAAGTGGATAAATTAAATATTTACTGCATTGTATTACATAAAGTAGACAGACATGGTGAAGTTTGGTTTTGTAGTCTTTGCAAGGATTTATTTCCCAAAACCTTCACTACTTTATTTGTTTTTTCTTGCTAAAATCAATTTTACTTCATATAATTCTAATGCTAGGGGATACACTGAATTTCAAGAAAAAATTAAAATTATTGTGACTTACTTAGATACTAATTTTTAATAAAGATTACTTTAATTTTTCTAGCTACAGAAACAAAGAAGCAGAACAATACTCTCCAGACTGTAAGAACTCCGAAAGGTACTGATATGGGTCATTTTTTACTTTGTCTCGATCTTGGCTGTGCAAAAATGATAATAGATTTTTTGGGGGAAATTACTTAAAATATTGGGCAATAAACATTCATAAATAAAGGTAATAAGAAAGTATGCCTTTTATTCATCAATAAGTAGAAATATTCATTTAAAATCACTCTACCTCTTTTTGCTTTTTAATATTTGACTCAAATTACTCTTGCTATAATAAGATAACAGTTAAATAATTTTGCTATTCCAAAAAAGTGGTTTTATTCAGTGATTTTTCAGACGTGTTGCAGGGTGGATTTGTGTTTGATAATTTGCTTTATGTGGCAATATAATTAGGGGATGAGAGGCTGACCCTTTTCTGTGCATGTGTGTGTGTGAGTGGTTTTTCTTTGTATTTACCAGCTTTGAGGATACATAGACATGTACATATATTTTTATAACTTTTAAAATATGTAAATTAATTTTCATTTAAAAATTCATATTGTGTTTAGATAGTAATTCATAATTTTTCCTCAGCATATCATTGTGGCCGTTGTCCAGAGGAGTGGTTCACATATTCCAGCAACTGTTATTCCATCAGTAAGGAATTCAAAACTTGGGATGAGAGTGTGACGGCCTGTGCTTCAAACAACTCTAATCTGCTTTACATAGATAATGCAGAAGAAATAGTAAGATGTTAAAGGTTTCAAATACTTTATTAAAAGCTTCAAACACTTTATTAAAAGCTTCTATTTGACATTATATTTGTAGAATTCATCATATTCTTGTACACAGTTGAGTTTAATTATTTTCAGATATGTACAATATTCTCTTGTTTGACTTCATAATAGTTTGTTTCCATTCGTACACTGCTAAAAAAACATGTAATTATTACCAATTCTTGCTGTTCATGGAAAACCATGCTTCTATAAATGTAACAAATTAAGTAACAAATTTTGCTACTTAATTGTACTACATATAAGCAAGTCATAATGGTGCAGATTCACAAAGTGAATGGACTCCTATAATACAATTTAGATTACAAAATAGGAGTCTCCAGCCCCAGCAGCTCTGCCCGTGTGCAAGCCCTCAACACTTCTCCTCCCTCCTCCTCAAATCACTGTCCTGACTTTTAATATTATAAATAAACCCTACCTCTTTTTGAATTTTCATAAATGGAGTCATATAGTGTGCACATTTTTGTCTGTCTTCTTTCACGGCTATGTGGTATTGGTCCAATTCATTCATATTAGTGCAGTTAGCTGTAGTTTGTTAATTTTCATGCTATATCATGTACATATATTAATCACATTTAAAAATCCATCTGCTGTTTCTGACTGGGGGACGCTAGTCTCATGTTTTCAGGGACACGGAGGCTTTCTGGATGGAGCACTTATAGTCATGGGACTCCTTTGCTGGTCCCCTCAGCCACACTTACCCTGGTGTCTCTTGGTGGGGACAGAAGCACTTCCTTTGGCTACTTACTGTTGGCAGGTCTCCTGATAGATCCCCCTTGCCAGTGGTGCCAGCCTTACTGGAGTTGCTGGCAGGACTCCCTCTCAATACAGAGGGAAGTGAGTTTACCTGAGGCACCTCTCATTGCCAGGGTGGGTGCTGGGAAATAACAGGCTCTGAGTCACTTTCTTTTGTTGGGTGGGGAAATTAAGATGCCCACTGTGTTGATCCCTGATCCTGGGATCCCAAACCACTCCACCTTTCTCTTTTCAATTTTCAGAGTCTACTTGCTTGTGTCTTTCATAAGTTCCAGAATTTATGGTTGTATTTAGTAAGGAGAAGCAGATGTTTTGGACCACTGCTGTTCTACCAGTACCAAAGTAGGCAAAATTGGGGGCTTAGCTAGCGAAAGAACGGTACGGTGCCCAGAAAACCATATTTTTAGAGTACATATCATTTATTTCCTCAATAGAAAAACTTTTAATTTCCTCCTAAACCCCAAATGCTGAGAAATGTAGTAGAAATATACATTGATTTAATATTAGCATTGAGAGAAATCTATGTACAGTGTCTGGAAATTTATTTATGTTCATGCTATATTTGCTTTGCCTACATGAGTTACTATTAAATTATTAATACATGGCTCATCATTATACTCATTATGTAAGAATAGGAATGAAACTACTGAGTATAAATGTTTTAAGGTTCATTTTAAGGAAAAATTACAAATACTTGTGAAATGTTTTGGCCAAATGTTTTGGCCATAAAGTGGTTTTCAATCTTAATATATTGGTTAAATATTCATTTTGTTTATAATTATAGATCCAGTGTAAGAACATGCTACTTGCATATTAAAATTTTGTGAAATCTTTAATAATTATTTAAATGTAAAACATTTATATTCCTGTAGATTTTTCTGGGCTCCCTGCTACGTCAGTCATGGATTGGAGTTTTTCGTAACAGCAGTCATCACCCATGGGTGTCAATAAATGGCTCAACTTTCAAACTTCAGTAAGTTCCTCTGAATGGTGCTATATAGTAGAAAAAATATAAAAAGGAAAAATTTAGAAGAATAATATAAGTGAGTTTAAGTTGAATTATAGACATAAAAGTATGTTGAAAGTTAGAGAAATGTTGATATAATATTAAGGAATGAACCACAGCAGTCCCCCTTATGTTGTTTTCACATTCTGTAGCGTGAGGTAGCTGCAGTCAACCATGGTCATAAAATTTTGAAATGAAAATTCCAGAAAAAAAACATTTTATGAGCTTTAAATTGTTCAGTGTTCTGAGTAGCATGATGAAATTTCGTACTGTCCCATCTGTCTTGCTTGGATGTGAATCATCTCTTTGACCAGCAGATCTACATTGTAGAGGTGACTCACACTTTAGTTACTTATTAGCCCTCTGGTGAGTAGATCAATTGTCACAGTATCGCCGTGCTTGTGTTCAAGTACCTCTTATATTACTTAATAATAACCCAAAAGCCCAAGTATAGTGATGGTGGCATATTGCTATATTTGCTCTTTTGTGTTATTAGTTATTGTTATTAATGTCTCCTTGTGCTTATTTTCTAAATTAAACGTTACCACAGGTGTGTATATGTAGAATGAACATAGTACATAAGAGGGTTCAATAAAATAGGTGGTTTCAGGCATCACTGGTGGGCTTGAAACACATCCCCTATAGATACGGGGGAGTGTTGTGTTCAGTTTTCATAATAACCAACTCTTACTAATGTTGTATTAAAATGACATTAACTGTTTTTATAAAATTCTTAAAGTACATGGAAAATGCTATTGTTTCATGTATTGTCCCCTTAACATATAACAGAAGTATGGATTTTTCTCCATTACAGAATAGTAGAAACAGCAACTGGTAAACGTAACTGTGCTATTCTACACTCAGATGGACTTCAATCAGATGGATGCGAATCTTTGAAAAGATACCATTGTAAGCACAAGCTTTAGAAGTAAAGTGTCTGACTTTGGAGTTGGCCATGTAATTTTATATTTTGTGCAATGGAAATAATATTATGATTGCATAAGTCAAAATAACTGGTTTTTGTTTTAATAATGAAAAGATTTCCAAAAATAACATTTGTAGTATAATACACAAACCAGAAAGAACAGGATTTCATTGCTTTTGTGTCTGGCTCTTTTTGGTCATCATTGCGTTTGTGGCATTTAACCTTTCTAAAAGTTGCATGCTATGTCAAGCTGCTTATATGAAATGTCAAGAATAAGCGAACCCTTAGAGATGCAATGTGGAAGAGTGGTTGTCAAAGGCTAAGGAGTTTTTAGAATGAGAAATTGCCACAAATTGCTACATTTTTTGTTTTTGGAGTCATGAAAATTTGCTGAATTTTGGAAGTGGTTTTTGTTGTAACTCTGTAAATATGTGAATATTTCCTGATTTATACACTTTAAATGAATGAAATTTATCCTATCTACATGACATCTCAATAAAAAATATCTGAAAACAACTTTCCTCTAATTATATTTGGAATGGTATTAATCTCTAAAGTCGTTTTTAAAGATTATGCCTCTTTATAACATTGACTTTTCCGATGAATATCAATCTATGTCTGGAAATGTACTAGATTTTTTTTAAATTTCTCTCTGTTATATTTTGTATATTTTGGTATTGAAGTCATATAGAAATATAGATATTTCATACTTATGCTTTTGTAAATAGCATCCCTATTTAAAAATTTCCTTTGGTTATTTTTTTGGTATAAATAGAAATATAATTGAGGTTTGCATGTTGATGTTATATACAGTTACTTCATTGATTTTATGTATTAATTCTACCACTTCAAGTATAGGATTTTCTGGATCTTTCTATATAAACTACTATTCACTAATCACACTATTTTTTTCCGATAATAATCACATTGTTTTTTTCCGGTTGCCATACATTTTTTCTTGATTTATTTTCATTGTGTAGGTTTTTATTTTCAACGTTGAAGAGCAGGTACAATAATGGTTGTATGTATATTATATGCATTATTTTCTGGTTTTGATAGAAAGATTTCAATATTCATTTAACCTTCAATATTCATTCAATATTCATTCAACCTTCCTTCATTTTTATAAAGGTTCTTATCATAAATTTGTCATATTCAAGCAATTTTATAAAATTCCCATTTTTCTAATAGATTTTGTTTTCAGTGTTACACTTTTAATATTTTTGCATTTATTGAAATGATATGTTTTCTTTGTATAATGTTTATAAACTAAATTACTTTTATTTCTTTAAATCTTAAACCAGTCTTGCATTTCTGAGACAAAATCATACTGGTCACTGCTTATTTCTCCTTTACAAAAATTCAGCACATGTATTATATTTAGAGTAAGATATTTTTCATCATCCATGTTCACAAGGAGATTCTATTGCATTTTTATTCATTGATACATATTTGCTAGTTCTTGCTATCAAGGCTACATTTGAAAGTATTCCTTAATTTATAATCCAGAAGCCTTTGTGTACGAGTATTGTTTTGTTTTGAAATGTTAGTATTCATTAGTGATGCAATCTGAGTTTATAGAATATGTTTGTAGGGATGTTTATACAATAAAGTCAATTTGTTCAATACATGTAGGGTTTACTCAGGGATATTGTTTTACTACATTTTGGTAATATGCAGATTTTAGGAATTTTAAATTTTAACTAGATGTTAAATTGTATTTATAACATGGTTTCACTACTTGTTTGATATCTGTAAAAATCATAAGATATTCCTACAGTTAATCTAGAAATAAAATATTTGTGCTTCCTCTGATTCTTTCTTAAATAGACTTTATCAATTTTATTAAGTGCTTTCAATGAAAATATCTTTGGCCTTGTTGATCCTCTCTACTTACTGTGTCTCTTGATTTATACTATGTCTTGTTTTGTTTCTTCTACTTGTATTTAATTTAATTTAATTTAAGCTTTTATCTTTATGTATTCTTTTGTTGCATGCTCAAATAATGCCATTTCTGATTTCATTTTGGGTAGTATAGGCATTTAAGGCAATCAGTTTTTCACAGGAAAGAACTTTGCTCTATTTTCCTTGTAATTCACGTCAAAATTGTGACTATCCATTGTGGTAATTTCTTTGGCTTTTACTTTCCTAGCAATACATGACAGAATAAAAATCATGTAGATTTTCAAATATTTGGTTATCGACTTCTATTTAGATAAAGTGTAGTTACTTTCTGTGAAGCTGAAAATTTTCTACATGTCTGTCCAAATGTGTCTGATGTGACAGAGAAATTGATGGTAAGTGCTATTTATTAATATTTTTATTTATTCCTAAAAGTGCTACATTTCAAGGGTCCACTGGACATGAATGGCTAGTGGCACTGTGTTGAGAGCATGGTTCTATATTTTGTATTAACATGCTTGGAAAATTCCCATGAGAACTTCAAGATATGAGTATTCTTTATTAGTGTGGTGTAGGTGTGAGAGTGTGTGTGTGTGTGCACACGCATATTTGTAATGGTTATTAGTTTAGTTTAAATCTTTCTATAGGCTCACTGCTGTACCTGTGTAATAAGCAGTGAGATGCCATTGTTTATACATGTTTATGATCTTTTATTCATTCACTTCTTTCAATTCAAAATGTTGAAATTGTATTATTATGTACATACATATTTAAAAGAAAATAACTAATTGTTTGAAAAATAAATCAATCATTATTAACACCTTGACTGCTACACTAGAAATTTGTTTTTTTTGCTTGGGGCCATTGTGTTTTAGGAAAAGAAAATGATCCTTTATAATTTTAGTGTTCTTTATTGTTTTCTGTGCATGAGTTACATGCAGCCAGATCCATGTTTTTAGAATTAAATTGTCAATATTAATTGTAACAATAAGAACACCAAGTAATATCTTTTACTAACCGACTGCAGGGTTTTGCTTCAGAAGGCCCCAGGCTCAAACTAGCCTGAGTAAATACAACTCACGTAGCAGTTAATGTGTTAAACTACATTTCCAATAATGATTCTTGCCTTATATAATGCACTACATTAATCATAATAGTTTTCTACCCATTGGGTTGTATGCTGTATGTTGTCATTTTTTCTTTTAATTTTTAAAAATTTTTTAAAGTTTAAAAATATTAAGGGATACAAATATTTTTGTTACGTGTGTGCGTTATATCATGCTTAAGTTAGGCCTTTTCTTGTGCCTACGATCAGAGTAATATTCATTGTACCCAACAGGTATATTTATTCCTCAGTCCCTTCTTTCCTTTCCTTTCTCCTTGTTAGTTTTCAATGTCCTTTATATCAAAGGACACCTTTGATATAAAGGACATTGAAAGGATATCTTTGTGCCTGTCTGTACCCATTGTTTACCTACCATTTATTAATGAGAACATATGGTGTTTGGATTTTCATTTTTGTGATACTTCACTTAGTATAATAAAGTTGCTGCAAAATACATTATTTCATTCCTTTTTATAACTGAATAGTATTCCTTGGTGTATACTTGTATATGCCATATTTTCTTTTTTTATTAATGAGTTCATGGGTCCTTAGGTTGATGACACATTTTGCAATTGTGAATTGTGCTGTGATAAACATTCCAGTGCAGGTGTCTTTTTATAAAATGACTTATTTTTACAATTACTTCTTTGAGGAATCTTGATACTGTTTTCCATATGGGCTGTACTAATTTGTAGTTCCACCAACTTTGTATGAGCATCCTGTTCTCTCTGCATGAGAGCCAGAATCTATTGTTTTTTTTACTTTTTGATAATGGTCATTCTGGCAGGAAAAGGTGGTATCTCTTTGTATTTTTAATTTGCGTTTTCCCGAGGAACTACCATTTCATCCAGCAATCCCATTACTGGGCATCTACCCAAAAGAAAAAAAGACATTCTATAATAAAGACATCTGCACTTGAATGTTTATAGCCGCACAATTCACAATGGCAAAGATGTGAAAACAACCCAAGTGCCCATCAATACAAGAGTGGATTAATAAAATGTAGCATATGTGTACCATGGAGTTCTAATCAGCTATAGAAAACAATGGTGATCTAGCACCTCTTGTATTATCCTGTATAGAACTGGAACCCATGCTACTAAGTGAAGTATCCCAAGAATGGAAAAACAAGCACCACATGTACTTACCATAAAACTGATATTAACTGATCAACATTTAAGTGCACATATAGTAGTAACATTCATGGGTATTGGGCAGATGGGAGGGGGAGGAGAGGATGGGTATATTCACACCTAATGGGTGTGATGCACACCGTCTGGGGATAGACACGCTTGAATCCCTTACTTGGGTAGGGCAAAGCTAATTTATGCAACCTAAACATTTGTACCCTTGTAATATGCTGAAATAAAAAAAATAAAAGAAATAAAATACTATGGAAAAAATAAATAAAAATTGATCACTGTTTTTATCCTTCTCAGACACATTTCTTTTTATTAAGAGAAATCTAAAGACTGAATAACATGTTTAAATAACAAAATTCAAAGCAAGAATTTAAGAACTAAGGCAGAGAAAATCAAATCAAGAAGATAAGTTTGGCAGTGATGAATTTTGTGCCAGCTACAATAAGTTGAAACTGTAGTAATTTGTTAGACTAATTAATGACAAATATCAGTAAATATTTATTAATGATGTTACTATGAGTTTTAGAATATTTTCCATCATAATAGAAGTGACATGATAAGAATATGAAAAAAAGATGTATGTAATGTTAAATTTAGCAACCTAGTCTAAAAACGATTCTTAAATATCTAAAAGACACACTTCAGACTTAAGCTGGCAATATTTGTGATTGAGACAGAAAAAAGTTACCTGCATTGGGTGGGTGGTCATGTCCCTTTGCCCCACATCTCAGAAAATATGGAGCAGCTTCTCAGAGGCAGTTAAAGGGACAAACTAAATGACACATTTTAGAATTCTACTTTGTCCTTGCAATTGGAGCCCAAAGTCTCCTGTATTTTGGAGGTGTGTGATGAGATCAACTGATTTCAAAGTAGCCCATGTGTCAGAATTTCCTGTTCAGACCTTAAGTGATATACTGATGAGAAATCTACTTTTTCCACTCTTGCCTCACGCTGAGCCTTCACAGGGCACTCTGAAGATCACAGACATTATTTGTTCTTATTCTGGATTTATGCCTTTCAATTTCACTGTTCATTTCCCAGCTGCTTCAGTCTTTTTATGAGAGTAAGATGGCCTCTGCACTAAAGGATGCATGACTTGCTGGAGACAGAAGCTGCGTCTTGTTACTTTCCATTTCTCTACTGGCCTACCTCATTTAGTGGAAGAGTCCAAGTACTAGGTGTGATGCAACTGAGGTACAATTAATCTGCAATAAAATCAAGATAAAGATTGATTTTTTTATTTTAATAATTCAGGGCAAAATCCTAAAATATGAAATATTTTGGAGGATTTCTTAAGTTTTCAAACTGTTGCTTCTGGAGTCCAAGTCTAGAGCATATATCTAGCTTTGTTAGCAAATATAATTTAAGTGAAACCCATAAACATCTTGACAGTGAACAATTAAATTTGGATTGGTAATCATT